TTTTTTCCCTGCATATCACACTATACACCCGCCAACGAGAAGTCAAATAGCACTTTCTTAAGGTCTACTGGTCTACTGGAGTATAGACTTCACGCATGGCGAATCCACAAAGGAAAGGAAAGGATCTAGCAGCCCGAAACTCCCCTTACGGCACCGGTGGCGATCAGGCCGCAATCCCAGATTAAAACCCATGACAGAACACATGGTCGGGCAATGCAAATCAGACACCGATCAGCCCACAATATTGCCGGCTCCAAACTCCCACATCTCAAAAACAAAACTCCTAAGCTCAAAAGTTTCCGTGGAAGGGTTTATCTGACAATCGCCTAGAGGATTTTTGAAGAGTGATTTAAGGGTCCCAAGGAATTTTCACCCGCCGGGATGTTAGGACAATTAAAAACTCTGGAGTTTTTGTATGATACGAGACCTGTAAAAATTAACACGGCCCAATTCCGGCCGCCCCAACACGGGGGCGGGCACCTCACCCAATGAGGTAATCTTGTCGGTACCTTCCCCACTTAACAACATCAGTTCCGAGGAACAAAGTAATTATCTGCTTAATAAGCGGCGGTGTGTGTTGGCACAAGTGCTGATCATGGAATGTGGCAAGGAAATGGAAGAGATAAGGACGAGAAAACGAAACAATAGAAGTCTCGGGCTACCAAGTAATTAAGGGAATCCCTGACTAGCGTTGATAGTTTGGCACGACCTAGTTTGTTTAGATTAGAGGTATTCGTTTCATAGCTAAACGGTGCCAGAGTGGAGGTTTACTCGAGGGGCAGTGGAGTCAGGTTCCCCAAGCACCAATTTTCAGCGTCCGTCATCACCTCACTTAATGTATCTCTGCCTCATTAGTAAATTCGGGGCATCAACACTCCGCCCCTCCATCATCCACTTCCCAGCATCCCAAGATCTCTTTGAATTCGCCATCAGGATATGAGCGGGAATCACCACCTCAGCACAAGCTATGTTCATTCCGACACGCCAATAGGACTGCGAACATCGTGTGTTATGAAAACGTTAATCCTTCTCAGAGGCCCGGAGCCTCCCCCCCAAAAAAACGGAGATTACAAGGTTGGTTGAGAGAATAGACACCAATCTACAGTCGTGATTCCCTATGGATAGTACTCGTATTGTCGTCCAACGCTTGCCAGCAAAGCCACCCCATTAAACCTGGTACCTCCGCCCCGTGCCCCCAGCTCTAAATCCTAGCGAATTCCTTTTTTATCAATCCCCCCTTGTACCAGCGAATTTACCCGAACATCCTCTCATCCGTTAGCCAGCCGGGTAATAACGCGACAGGAAATTGCCGTGTTTACCTCCAGTGCCCTGCTTCATACAGTGATAACAGTCGAACGCGGGGTAGTGGGGTCAACCCTGTAAAGTACTTGTACCGTAGCCGAGCACAATTACCGTGAAAGCCCGTGAAATCGATCTATCTCTGTCAGCCCAGGATAAGTCCAGTTCAGGTTATTAGATTAAGAACACCTATTAACGAGATCCAACACCTCGTGAGGCCTGATATTAAACTGTCAGGAAAACACTAATCCTTTTCAGGGGGTTTTGCCTCTGAAGCTGGAGAGCCTAAGGCTGTTGCAGACAGCGGATCCCATGAGACCTTACACCGCCGGTGCCATAATAACTCTGACAAACCGATCATGTTCGGTATCATAGTCCAAAATTTCCTCCTGTGGATAAGGTCTGAGACCCACAGAGAAACCAGACTCTACCGAGTGAGTGAGGAACCCCCAACGCCCTGGCGCATGGGCTGTCCATTTGAGTTCGTATGGTATTGTGTAAGTATTGAACCAGTCAGGGTCGAGAAGCATGGATTTGGCCCTTGAGTTCTTGGGGGATGCGTCCGGAACGATCTCACAATCCCATCGGTACCACGGAACACGGAGTGGGTTTGGTTGAGTTTTAGTGGACTTGTGTATTGCTGAAGAGCTCTAATTCTTGGGCTCTGGCTGCGCTAGTATCGAGGATCGGGAGGTAGGAACATGGTGAATGTATCGTCAGTTTGCGGCACGGGTGGAATCAAGCCGACTTAGAGGAGCCTATCGCATGGAGTCAGTATTTTTCTGGGGGGGGGGGGGGGCAAGAGGGCCAATCGAATTCGGCCATCGGAGGCAGGGGTGATCCCAACCCGAAAAACAATTCCTAATTGAGAAAGGAGATGAAACGAGAGAAAGTTTCCTTTCTGCGCATTCAAATAGTAAATCGTTTGCCGAGTGACCAGTTGTGATAAAATCGTATAGTTCGGACAAAACATAGTAGCCTTTACCGCTCACGACAACTGGGCTGACAAGAGAAATTTCTGCATGAGGGCCCCGACTGACATCCCCCAAACCCCCATTCCTGACTCGCAAGGCGTCGTATGAGTGCGGCACATGTAGAGTAGAGGAACAGAAACGAGGAATAAGCTAGAAAAAGAAACAAAAAAAGTAGAAAGCGAGGAGGCCAGTCCAAGGGGGGCAGAGGTATGGTCATTCGCTGAGGATTAGAGAATATTGACGACCGGACTTACTCAGAAGGGCTTGATCCTGGCGGCCTAATGCTATTAATAAGTTCTGAGGAATCGGGGTACCGTATCAAACCGTCTATTACCGTGGAGGAATCCAACAGAACTCAGTGATTTTTGGCAATTCGCAGACAGAGACCAATCAAGGTCGACTACCCGACGTTCAGATTTCTGAAAAAATCATGCCGCAGGCTATGCGTCGTGCGTGTGTGCGAGAAGGAGGTGGAATATTACGGAATCCCACTGGTTGTGCTTTGACTTTATACCTTCCCCCCCCCCCATTTTTTATTTTATTTTGAAGGGCCAACTTGTGTGGTGGCATCGACGGATTAAACTGAATACGGGAGATCAAATGCCGTATTATGCAGTATGATTTTATGATATATGACACTTTACTCGGCTTTGTCCTTTCAGGGTGACCGCCGTTAGGTGGGGCCCCTGGAAACTAGGAGCGGAGCGAATAATGTCTGGGGCCGTAGTGAGCACTCGAGTATAAGCTGTCCACGGTATTGGACAAGTGAGTTAGTTTGAAAAATTAGCACGAGTATGATACCGCAATCGTACGGGTACATGGCTCTGCTAACATTTCTACCTTTCTTGCACGGCACTACTCTCGACTTTTTCATGGGGACTTCTCGCATGTCATTTCAAGTAGAAGTGCCTCAACTGCAGTCTCCCACAAAAACTATCTGGGCCCAGGAACTTGCGGGAGTGCCCTCCAGTACTCAAGGCACTTGTCTGCATGCCGACTTGGCTCTCATATATGATGTAGCTACAGAGAAATTCCAACAACTTACCCACACCTACCAGGCGCGCGCAGCTAGGATACAAACATTATTCATTGCAATCACATCACTGTGGTATCCGAAGTGTAATCCGAGCAAGGCGGGTTTGTGGAGCAGGAGGTCAGGCTGAGCGTGTTTACACCATCCCAACCCATCACCCTGTCTCATCGGATCCAATGAACTCACTCTCCGCCTGCTCCGTGGCCATGATCCTACCCAATCTCAGCCTAAAGTTTCTCAGTGCTTTCTGTTTTGTTTCTATTACATTTACCCAAGGCTACCAGCAGCGGCACGATTTACCGTACTAAGCCTCCTCCCCAACGTCCTCCTCTCGGTGCCTTCCCAGAGCGCCCTCGCGATGTCAGTTTGGAAAACATTCAACATTCCATCCCTCCCGATGGAGGGGAGTCGGGAGGGTCGATTATTGTGAGGGCAGGTAAGGTGCCCGGCCGTTGGAAACGATAATCAGGGATGGGCGAGATAATATTAGAATCCGGATCCTAGCCTTCCTTTCTCACTTCCTTCCTTCCGAAGTTACTCATTAGTGAGATATATGGGAACAGCTAGGTAAACCCCCCGACGAGGTCTGCAACTTAAGCAACGCCCTCAGACTCAGAGCTAGAAAGGGGATAGCGGGGGTGAGCGAGGTGCCAAATCTGCATTGTTTAGATATGTGTGCCGATTAGGGAGATCAGACTCCGGCCGCGGTGTGGGTTAGTCTAGGGATAGATACCGTATGATTTCCCATTATCGGGTCCACTGGGGAAGGGGGAGGGCAGGACAAGGAACCAGTATCTCAATCTGCCTGGACACTCAAGAGGCACGCTATTGACGTCATAAATGTCATCGCAGACATGTTATCTCACAGATTTGCTTTCTAACTAATCCCTCTGGGTAGGAAAACAGCAAAGTATCACCGCTCAATTAGCCAGAATCAGGAATGCAGTCGACAAAGAGTTTTTATAGCTTCTGAAAAAAGCAATAACTTTCCCGGCTCTTCTGTCACCACAACTCCGTTAACCATGTCGACAGCCTCGCAAATATAGCCCCCCCCCTCCAACGCCGGATCCCAAGGCGCCAAAGCCTCGCGCTCAAGCAGCACATTAACGATCCACCGAAACAAGCAATGGCACCTCTTCCTCCCCCCTTCCAACACTCACACACGACAATAGCTCTTGGAGCGCCAGGAGATGTTTACATAACATTCTCCACACCAGCGGCGCGCTCAGCATGCCTAGCTCCGACATTCAGGACATGTCCCACTAGCTTTTCTGGTACGCGAATAGCTCCCCACCGGTAAATTTTCAGACCCCAATCGACAACATGGCTAACTCCTATGGCAAGTGCATAGCAGTCACCAAGACCGACCGGCCGTGTGTTTCTCCAACCCCAACAATATCCCAGCCTTCCCGCAGCCCCCAACCCCCCTCCCACTCACGGGGCAGGCCATCTAGGCCGTACGGGTCGTGGGCATCGCCAAGTCCGCGCCGAATGGGGGCTTCAGTATGATATGTTGGGAGCCCGGGTGGGTAGGTGATCAGGTACCCGGGAGCTCGGTTGACGGCACTGGAATACGCCCTGCGGCGGGGACCGGAATAATGCGGATACTGTGGTTACGAGGGCGAGATCCTAAGTTGATTTCCCTTCCTCCCTCCCTCCCTCCCTCCTTCCTTCCTTCCTTCCTATAGCAGTGTAAGCGCAAAATGCTAAATTATCAGGAGTATCGATATGGAGGCATAAATCCAAGTACTCCTTCATAGACTGCTCACGGGGAACACCCCGGGCTGAACTGGAGTCAAATATAGCTTCTTTATCATCAAAGATCCATAGTGCATCTCACAAAAACTTCATCTCCAACGAGTGACAATGCATGCAGCCGTTAGTTGATGAGCCCTGCCAAGAAGGGTGCACTCCACCAGCACAGTCGCACTGACCTCCCTTAAGTGAAAAAAGTGAAAATTTCAAACACAACCAACAGTAACCGTTAAAACAGCAAGTATCACGGCAAAACTGAAGCGGTAAATCGCCGGTTGAATAAACGAGAAATTCCCAGTAAACAAAATCGCACAGATCCACCAAAAAAGCAAAAAATATTCAGTCATGAAGAACAATGACTACACCTCCTATTCGAAAAAAAAAGTAAAACCTTACGGGAACCACACACAATTCAAAAGCCTCGGTCACTCAGCTCCCCCCACCCCCTCCATTTCTCCAGATAAAGCGTGCCAACCCAGCTTCCACTGCATCCATCTGAATCGCCGGTAGTTCAGCTAAATCCTGGATACTTGCATCTGCATCGCAGGTTCAAAAGCCCCGCATGATACCTACAGGGCTCGGACGTATGAGAGCTCGAGAGGAAAATTCACCACAAAGATTCCTCGAAAAAAATAGATGTTGGGGCCGCACGCGCGGTGAGATTCACTACGAGTGCGGCAATTCACTGCGGCTCCGGCAATTCCCTGGCAAGGTCGCTGAGGTTTTCCAATCCACGCTTCGGATTAGCCCTGTACTCCACCTCTTCCTGCATCCTTCCAAACTCCCACAACCATTCGTCAGCCTCCTGACGCGTGCCAAAGGCCTGGTGACATATTCCGGGTTGACCGACAATGTGCACTTCTGCTTGCTTCCTGTTTTTCAGTTAATTTAATTCAAATTCAGTCAGCCCGGCCCCATCATCGAGCCCTGGGGGAAGAATGAGGGATGCTAACCAAGACTCATAGACCCCCTTCCCACTCCCATTCGCAACAACATAGAATTGATTCCCTCCTGTTCCCCCTCCGATTTTTCCCCCCCCTCGTCGTCCACCTTCAGGAGGATTGGGGACCGAATGAGCAGGAGGAGCAGGAGAAGGACGAAGAGGGGGAGGAGGAGAGACATCGCTACCGGTGGTATTGCTGCGCGACTCTTCCATTATGCAGGTTACATCAAAGGTTATTTCAACACGATACCTCACAACCCCATGCTTAGCCATGAACGCCTGCGCTTCCGCCAAAGTAGCGAATTTCTTGAAAATGACGTCCGGATACCTCTGCGTGACGACCTGCGCAGCAGCCCTGTTCTGTAATCAGACTCTCATGTTCTAAACCCTTCTCTAACCGCCTCCGTCAAACGCGAGGATCCGTGTGAAGGACAAACCACGAAGAGTAGATGGCCGGCGCCGGCGGCTTGCCGCGCGCAACGGCGTAATAGCCCCTTCTCGCCATTCTGGACGAATTCTGTGTTGAGATCGGATGGAGATGGGATGAGAGGGCTGGGTGTGAGAATGCCTAACTTATCATACCATAACGTAAGGAAGGGGTATTTCTTATATACTCGCATAGTACGGAAGGGGGGAAGAGGGTAGGTGCGCAGATGTGCGGCTGGGTACGGTTATGATTCATGATCATTGACGTCGTTGGGTTGCATTTGCCTGATACAGGATTGTGCATGGGGGGGTGACGGATAATCCTGCGTAGTGCTATAGCTGCCCTGTTGGAATGGTATTTTAAGGCCCCTCCATGAGGAAAAAGTCGTTAACTGGGAAGATGCCGGCCCTGCTTTTAGTAGGTCTGTGCGACTGAGGACGAGGCTGCGAGCCCCGGTTTGAAAGCCTTGCCTTATTTGGAACCTTTCCCATGTTAATCCGCCTGGGATAAAGTATCGGGGGTGACGCCAAGAATACACCATCCTGCTCAGTTATCAAGACCCTGGACTGTCTCTTCCGGATGCATAGAAGTGACACTAGTATTCAACGGAAAGCTCTCAAAATACCCCTTCGGTCAAGGGCAAGAATTGAGCCTGCCTTGCACAATTATAATGCTTTCAAAAGACAAGAGGGACACCATTCCTCCGTTAATAAGATCACTGACTTGTCCTTCTTGTGCATAGAGTAACCCCAAAAATCATTGTGATAGAGTTCTGATAATAGTATCATAGTTATCACTTTTGTTTTTTTTTTCTGCTAAATTTCTATCATGATTATTAGAGCCCAGGAAAAACATCTGGCTTAGTGCACTGGTAAGGGAAAGAAAACCAAGCAGAAACCTCACAAGCCACAACTCAATCAAAACTCTACAAGCTACAAATAAGAAATAAAGAAGCCACATACTATATATCAACTGATTCCCAACAGGTTTCAGAGGCTCAGGCTGGGTATCCTCCCCACCGGATGAGAAACTGTTAGTAGTCATTCTTATAATACTTCTTATAGTCAAGCACTCAGGCTTCCTCTACTTCCTATATTTCATAGATACTAATTACTATAAGTACTGGCTGGAAGTTGCTGCATCCTTGGAACCTGCTGCTATCATTATTTAAATAGTATTTCTTGACTGTACTAGTAGTAGAATAAACAACTACCTAGTCTCATTAGTATATTCAATCTTCCAGTTTAATGGTATAACTAGAACTAATATTCAGTCTAGGAATTTGATACTTCAAGTTTGTTTATTTTACTTGTAGTTTTAAGTATTCTTTAATATTCTATTTGTTTTAAGTATCTCCTTGATTAAGGAATACCTGGGACTAGTGACTATCTGTTAAGTCACCTGAGAGAGTTGACTAATTAACTCTTTTCCTATATGTCTTTATTGATGTAAGTCTCTATAGACTTATCTCTACTCTCTTTAGTTTAGTTCTATCTATCTTGTTTGTAAACATAAAGGTTCAAGTCTATAGTGTTCTTCTAAAGAGCTGCTTTAATAGTAGGATCCTATAGGTATTACCTATGACCTCTTACCTCTAAATTACTTCTATCATAATAAGAATCATACTTTTAAAGTTCTTAAACAATCTCCAATAAGCTATAGCAAATAGCACATAAAGGTTTGATTGGTATAAAACCTTTCCAGTCATTCCAACCTAGTAGACTCAAGAATATAATAAAATTAGTAAATGAATAGTAATATACCAATATTTCTGATGGTGAATTACTATCTACTATTAACTATATCATAATAACTTAGACATATATAATACCTGAAACTCTGAGTCAGTAATAGTATGAAGAACCTCCTACAAGATTAGATTTCTGAACATCTTACCTTAAAAGCAATTTTAAAAGCAATAGTAAGGAAGACTCAAACTAGAACCAACTAATGACTGACTCTCTCAATAATCTTATCTAAGTATACTTCGTTTATTCAATACTTTAATAATAGGAAGCTATGAAGAGCTCAATTTAAAGTAGTACTAGTGGCTTGTAGGACTGTCAGTAAACTGTAATACTATCCTATAGTAGGAAGACTACTTTGCTATCCTCTTAGTAGACTACTGTGAAAAGTATGAGGAACTTATAGGAGAAGTATTAGAAAGAGTGGATGTTAGCATCTACAACTACTATGATTTTTTATTCTCTTTACTCCTATTATTTTTTTTCAAATATGTACTTGTATTCTCCATATTACTGATAGGAACTAGGTACTTATAGAGGGAGAATCTAGTAAGGAAACCTTTTATAAGAATATTGATTTTCACAATTTTTAATTTATTTGAGGAAACAGATACTTTATTTCAAAAGATATGACTACATTAGCAAAAATAAAAGCTTAGGTCCTGTGCATCTTATATATCTGATGTATACTACAGAACCTACAGAACATAAACTATTAACTAGGATGCAAGGGAGCAGCTACCTGAACTCAGAATGCAATGGTTCTTAATATCAGATCTTAAGATACAATATTCCTTTGCACTAGATCTTAGGAGACAATAGTCCTAGATACTAGTATCAGAACTCAGGATATCATAGTCTTGGATACTAGAACTCAAGATACAATAGTCTTGGATATCAGAACTTAAGATGCAAGTAAGCACTACTATAATTTATAAGATACAATACTAGAACTGGATCTTATGACCTAAGTTACATATGTAGATTCTAAAACCTTTAAAATAAAAAACATTTCTAGTCATATTAGTTCTATAACAAATAGGACAGAAAGAACAAATTCCTCTTAGCCTACTGCCACATACTATAAATCTGACTCAAATACTACTTCCATCCTATACTGTAATTCTACTAATATTAGTACCTAACAGGTATTCAATATAATATTAAAAAGCAAACATCAAGTAGAACCTAGATGCTGAGTATTAAGTACTATGCCTAAATGATATCTAATGAATCTCATATCAAAGCCAGTACTTTACCAGAACCTTACTAGAGTAAAGACTATATCAGGCTACAACCCTATCAGTATTGGTACTGAGCAGATGTCCTATATACTATTGGAAAGCTGGTATTAAGTGGAACTTAAGTACTGAGTATAGGGTACTCTACCTAAAGGATACTTAAGGAATCTGGTATCAAAATCAGTACTTTACCAAAGTTAATACTACTTGTATAACAGGTAATAACTCCACTAATGCTAGAATTAAATAGACATTAAATACACCATTAGAAAGCAGGTATCAAGTAGAACCTAAGTACTGAATATCAGGTACTGTCCCTACAGGATGCCTGAAGAATCTGGAATCAAGGTTAGTACTTTACTAGAATCTTACCAGAATCTTATCAAAGTAAATACTACTTCTGTAATAGGGTGTAGCTCCACCAATATTAATTTTAAGTAGATTTTTAATACACTGTTAGAAAACTAGTATTGAGTAGAACCAGAGCATCAAGTATTGGCTGCTGTGCTTAAATAATATCTAAGAAATATAGTACATCTGCAAAAATAAAAGCTTGCGTCCTGTGTGTCCGGTACGTCCGATGCACAGGACGCACAGGACGCAAACCACGACTCAGGACGCACAGAATGCAAACTGGCCCTAGATGGATGTTTAATGCACACCATTGGAAAGCCAGCATCAAGTAGAACCGGGGTGCTGAGTCTCAGGTGCTCCACCGTTAGGGCGCTTGAGGAATCTGGTATTAAAGTCAGCACTCTGCCAGAACTCCGCCCGGGTAAAGATGACTTTCATAACAGGTTATAGATCTACCGATATTGGGGCCGGGTAGACGTCCTAGATACCATTGGAAAGCTGGCATCGAGTAGAATCAGGCTGCTGAGTCTCAGATGCCCTGTCTAAAGGACCCCCGAGGTATCTGGCATCAAAATCAGCAATCCGCCCAAACTCCACTAGGGTAAAGACCACTTTCATAACAGACTGTAACTCCACCAATAGTGGTGTCAGGTAGATGTCCTAGGTAGTGTTGGAAAGCTGGTGTTGAGTAGAATCAGGCCACTGAGTCTCAGATACTCTGTTTAAAGGACGTCCGAGGAATCTGGCGTCAAGATCAGCAATCAGCCAGAACTCTCTCAGGGTAAAGACCACTTTCATAACAGACTATAACTCCACCAATAGTGGTGCTGGATAGATGTCCTGGGTAGCGTTGGAACGCTGGCATCGAGTAGAATCAGGTTGCTGAGTCTCAGAAGCTCTGTCAAAAGGACGTCTGAGGAATCTAGTGTCAAAGTCAGCAATCTGCCAGACTTCGCCAGGGTAAATACTACTTTCATAACAGGCTGTAGCTCTACCAATATTGGTGCTGGGGGGGTGTCTAAGGCACCGTTGGAAGGCTGGCATCGAGTAGGATCAGGACGCTTAGTATGAGATGCCGCGCCGGAAGGACGCTCAAGGAATCTGGCGTCAAAGTCAGTACTCTGCCAAGGTAAACGCCACTTTCATAACAGGCTGTAGCTCTACTAATATTAGCACCGGAGAGACGTCTGGGGCACTGTTGGAAAGCTGGCATTGAGTAGAACGAGGCTACCGATTATGAGACACGACGCCCATAGGGCACCCAGGAAATCTGGCATCAAACTCAGTACTCTTCCTGCGTAAACACCACTTTCATAATAGGCTGTAGCTCTGCCAATATTGGTCCCAGGGAGATGTCTGAGGCACCATTGGAAAGCTGGTGTCGAGTAGAATCAGGCCGCCGAGTATGAGATGCTACGCTTAAAGGGCACCTGGGGAATCTGGCGTCAAAATCAGCACTCTACCTAGGTAAACACCACTTTCATAACAGGCTGTAGCTCTACCAATATTGGCGCCAGGAAGATGTTGGAGACACCGTTGGAAAGCTGGCATCGGGTAGAATCAGGCCGCCAAGAATGAGATGCTGGGCCCAAAGGACACCTGAGGAATCCCGTGTCAAACCCAGTACTTAACTGAACCTCACTAACTTGGCATAGCAGGTAAAGTAAACAACAAAGTCTGCAATGCAGGGGAGGTAGTAGGGGGACCTAGTAAGGTAGGAGGTTGTATGCAGGATGCT